TGTGTATTTGATAATGGCTGTTTTTGACAAGGCACAATAAGAAGGAAATGAGCTCACAGAAGAAATAGCCATTTTGCAAGCAGAATTGAAAGAGAGTTTGGAGAGGCCATAAATTCCACGATTTGCAGGTTAGAAAATAGAACTGTTTCTCATCAGCAAACATTAAAAGATAAAACTGAGAAGCCTTGAGCTACAAGGCTCAGTTAAGATGCACTCTTGGAGCAAATATGAAATCAAGTAGCCTGGTCAGCCCATTGTTAAAACTCTAATGGAGTATAAAAGAGGCGAGATCAAGTGTTGTAAGGAAACTAACACTTCACCCATCAGAGGAAGATGTACATAGGATGCCTAAAATCAATTTAGAAATATGGAGGTGTAATTACTTTTTATTGCTGTGTAACAAATAACAACAAATTTAGTTGCCTACCAGTAAACCAACTCACACTTACTATCTCACAGTCAGGTATACTGGCATGGGTTAGCTGAGCCCTCTGATCTGGTCATATCAGATTAAACCCAGGTATTATTTCCTCTGAGGCTTGGGATCTTCTTCCAAACTCACTGGTTATTGTCCAAATTCAGTTATTTGTGGTTGTAGGACTGAGAACCTCAGCTCCAAGACCCAGTGTAGATTTAAGGTACTCTCATCTCTCTCTCTCTCTCTCTCTCTCTCTCTCTCTCTCTCTCTCTCTCTCTCTCACACACACACACACACACACACACACACACACACACACACACACACACTGTGTAAGGAAATTATATGCTAATTACCTTGACTGTAGTAAATCATTTCACCATATATATGTATATCAAGTAAACATGTTGTACACCTTATATAGAAATAAAAATATATAAATTTTAAAAAGCAAAACAATATGGTTAAAATAGATACATGGGAAGATTTTTCTCAGGACAAGGAAAATTAGTTTATATTGATGAAAGCAAAATTCACAGTGAACATGTTAGTCTTTGCTATGTAACCAGCCATGCATAACTTAGTAGCCTGAAGCAACAACCATTTATCTAGATTACTATTCTCTTGGGTTGGACTCAACTAGGCAGTTCTAATGGTGTCAGCTGGGCTCACTGTTCATTTGGGATCGGCTGCCATGGTCTGCCACTGGGGCTGGCTAGCTGTCAGCAGGGCCAACAGTAGGAATCAAGCATGTGTATCTTCTCATCCAGCGGTTAGCCAGGGCTTGTCTATGTGTCTATGTGGCAGTGGTGGCAGGTCTCCCCAGATCAGCCAAAGAACAAGCCCAGGGACCAGGTGCTTTCCAGTCTGTTTTCTGCCATGTTTGCATCGCAAACATTTATAGGCAACTTAGCACCAAAAAAAACCACACAACATAAGAAGAAACAAAAACCATAATCAGCTTTATCTTGAGTTGTCAATCTTTAAATGGACAATAACAAATAAGGAATTAGGATTCAAATAATAGAAGGGAATAAGGAGGTCAATAATACCAAATTGGTTTTCTATAGAGAATATACATCATTTTTAATGTCCTTGGAACATTTATAAAATTGGTCATATTTTTAGGCCATACAAGGAAAACTCAGCACATCTTTTCAAAAATATAAAAAAAAGAAGAAGTTGTTTAGGTAACATTTTCTGGCCAAATGCAATAAAAATAGAAATTAACAAGGCTATAAACAAGAAAATTTAAACCACCTGGAAATTAAGACATTTTCCTGGATAACTTTTAGAGACTATAATTAGACTATTACAAAAATAAAATTAATGACAAAATTATATCTCAAAAACTATGGAATGCTTTATATCAGAAGCTAGTAAACCTTTTCTGTAAAGGGGCCCATCTATATATATAAAGAGCCAGGGTCCGTAATGTCCAAAATGACCAAACGGACAGTTGAACACCAGAAGTCAGCCCTGCAGTCAGTGCTGGGTCGCTGTGGCGAACCAGCACTGACTGCTGCCACTGGGGGCCTGGTGACCCCGCACTGACTGCCCAGGGGGCTGTGGATCAGGCCTGGAGAGAGGCCTGCTGAGAGAGAGGCAGGGTCTGATCCATAGCCTCTGTGGCAACTGTTGATCAGAACTTGCCTCTCCCGGCCTGGCCCAC